CCTGGCACCTGAAAGACCCTCATCTCAGTCCTGGCACTCTCTATATGCGAGATGTCTCTAACAAAGTTCTGCTTCATTAGAAGCTTTTCTGCAAGTCCATAAAGGTTTCTGGGACTCGGCAACTCTGCCCTCCGAGCATCTCCTCTGCACTTCAGGAGAGAGGACAACGTCCAGCGCTGCTTCTCATGGCCTCCCTCGGGTACCAGGCGGAGCAGCCACCAGCTGAGGTAGCATCAACAAAAACCAAGACAACAGAGAAAAGCAACAATGAAGCAAGATAAGAACAGCAGGAGAGCCAGTCAGCTTAGGAGACGAGCCTTTTTGGGGCTACCATTTCCCATGATTAACAAAAAGTTACTACACTATTTTTAATTCCAGTGCAATAACTCATGTATCGCTGCAGTGACCCATGTTGGTAAATTCCCCTGCCACATTCACAGAAGAGCAGAGCAAGAAGTACAGCAAATACTCAAGCTGTCAATTAAATAACTTTTAGGAGCCAGTAATGCTCAGAAGTTTAGCGTATAAAAAATAAAATAAATGTTGTGGTTTTATTCTTATCCTGCTATTTCGAGTGCAGTGTGTTCTTTAGCTCTTAAGATATTCTGAACATATCCTGAGTCTTCAAACCGTTCTTTAGCATTCAGACCTTCACAGGGAAGTTTTTCATAAAGAATTAGCATTTCACATTTCAGTGAGGATGACCTAGGACACAACAGCTTCTTTATCTTTCGAATCCTTGGAAATACTATGATGGAGAAGTATACATTAGGCTGTGAAATCGGAAGAAAAATCACCACAGAAAACATTTTTATACAAAGTAGAGGCTTGAGGGTACACAAAGTCAGCGTTAAGAATTCATGGTTCTAAAATAAAACAAAAACTTAGCATATAATAACGAAGTAATCTGACCTCCTTTGGCCATTCATTACCATGCTTTGTTAAAAAGAAATTCTAGCTTACTTTTCAGTTTCCTTCCCCAGCACAGTTTTCGGTATGGATCAGAACAAACTGGCCTTTTTCTTTCGGAACACTGTATTTCAGCTCATTGAAAGCAACTGTAATGACTACAAAGATTCTTCAACTACATCATGCATCTTTAGAATTACTTGCAACACTATGCAAAATAAGTTTTAAAATGCGCACCAAACAACCATAGTGATAAAAAAAATCATTTATTTTCTGAACACTCTTAGTCCTCAATTCACTATAAATTCAATCTGGCATACAAGGAGGGGAGAAACTGAGCCAGCCTTAACAAAACAGAGCTTTCTAAGACCAGAAAGCTTTACAAGAGCCCGGGACATGCTTCTTTTTCAGTTGCAAACGCAAGAATATAAACACGTTGACCTGGTTTTTAATTCCCAGGTTTATTGCTCATGAACTGATAAACCGATAGCTAAATCTCCTTCTTGATTCACACTACAGGAACCAAAAGAAAGAAAGAGAAAGAAAAAAAAAAAAAAAGGCCATGCACCTCAAAACCTAAGGGTCATCTCTGAACACAAACTAGAAAGCCAGTTGTAATGAGAGGTCCTGACAAATAAGCAACCATCAAACAGGAGCAGCCTTTAATCACACCCATGCGGCCTTGATTTGAACTGGTGAGGCAAAAAGCTGCTCTGTTCAATCCAGACCACACTGAACAATTCCAAAATATAACCTTGCATCGCAGAACATCTCTCCAAACACCCAGGACCCACTCCAACCCAGTCACAAGGAAAATCTAAACAGACAACAGTGAAGCATGAAGAATAGCAGGTTGGTTTCCCAAGTGCATGCAATATAAGCTTTTAGGGTGTGGGAAACAAAACTAAAAGCACCAAGACAAAGCCAGGAAAGAATTATTCTGTACCATTATTATGACAGCAGAATTAGAAGGCAAAAAAAAAAAAAAGTTGGCACCGCATTCTGTGTGTTCAGAAAAAAAAGATGTCAGCAGCTTGTTTCAAGGATGCTATTTAGTGCAACAGTAAGTACCAACATTTCGTTAAGTTGTTTCCTAACAGAGTTTATTGTAAAAGCCCAGATAAGTTTGAGCTGACAACCTTTTTTGCAAAGGAGGAACAACAGGAAAACCCTCAAACATGAAGAGCAAGGTGCAGGAGCATAAGAATTTCTCACGATAATACACATGTTCCAACAGCTAAACATCAATCACTGAAAAAAACCTTTTACAAATTAAACCAACATTTTACATGGTGTGATATTTTAGGCAGGTTGCACATAGTCACAATTTCTGTGACAAATTACCTTTAGACATAAAATAAACCAAGATCAATGTGGCCACCCTTTAGAAACATGATCCCACTGTAAAATTATCTGCACCACAGGACAGTACAATTCTAAATATGACAAATGTCTTATAAATGTCTGTCTTTCTTAGCGTAAGGCACTACCAAAAACTAAAAGCCTGCAATGAAACTGCTACTATTTTAACATAGTTACAGATTTTCTGCACTGTCCAAGGGAGAGGGGGACAGAATCATCCATAAAATCTGGACCTTACATTTCTACCAATATTCTTCTCTTGGTGAACAGTATTCACAACCCTTTCCTACACACGATAAGGATAAAAAGTTAGACATCAGCAGTAGTTCCCTTACTGACTTTCTGAAAATATAAAATTGATCACTTCCTTCAAGATAAGCTTATGTGTGTTTATTAAGCACCAACATATTAGAGATTTACTTATGCCAGGTATTGTGTTAAAGAATGTACCCTATGCAGCAAACTCCTCAAATGACAAACAAGATGAAGGGTTAAAACAAAAACAAACAAACAAAAAAGGCTTTTTAAGCTAGGAAATAAGGTTGACAAAAGACAAATAGATGTGAATAGGACACATGTCAGAAAAGGGATTCAATCACTTCAAGACTGAGGTACCAGGACATTCTTTCACAAGCTGCAATGGAAATTTATACTGCCTGAAACGTACCATAGTAAAACCGTAAGAAATGTAAACAAATAAATAATGTAGTTTGATTCTAACAGCAATCTAAATTTATGAACCAAGAAGACACCTTCTTAGGCTGACTTTCCTGCATGTTATGTTAGATTTTAATTCTGCACAGCACCAGCAGATGCACAAGCCTGGAATATCAGAATATAAGAAAATTCAACTGTTTTAACACATTTAGCTATCCTAGAAAGTTTATATATACAGAAGTATACAAATACATCTGCATAAATTGACAAATGCCTTATACGTGAGGTGTTTAGTACAGAGCTGCCTAAACTTTGCAAAACAAGCTCATAGCTCATGTTTCACTAAAGCAAACAGTAAACCAACAAATCCAACAGTTATTCACTATAAATATATAATGTTATCTATTTATGGGGTTTAAGGCAGTGAAACAGAGAGGACCTGCATACTAATGTCTAACACAGAAACGTGGTGTTCTTCCTGCAAGCAAGAGGCTGTACTCTGAGTAACATTATTAAGTAGGACAACAGCAACAAGCGTCAAAAGTGTTATCTGCCATTTGAATAAGCCTCTATCTTCTTTGAATACATAAAACTAAACTGTCCAGTCCAGAATCACTTCACATTCTCACAAAAACCAATGATATTCTGCTCAAGGCAAGAAAACCTTTGCTTACTCAAACTAGCAATTTAAACAAGTAAAAATCGCCACAGCACTTCAATGAGACCCCTGAATAGGATACAACAACTACAATTCAAAGGCTAGCAAGACTTGCAGGCATTTGTTACGTTTAAGACGAGCCATTAGGCAATGGCAGCACAAGAGATGCTCTATAAAACAAATTATGAATAATACAGTAGTGTTTGACAGGTCAGAATATTCAGGTGTACAGAATCACCACTTGAAAAGCTGTCATTTATTCAAAATTGCAAATATTTTAAACATCAAAAACTCAACAAATGGGAAACACCATATGCGAACACTAGAATAGTACCACTGACACTAAGCATGAAGCTTCAACTTAAAATCCTGCAATCCTGTTTTTTTCTGCTGCATTTAGCAAGTATTTCTTCCACCAATATTCTTTCTTTTAGGTGACAAGAACAATCACTTTTATTTAGACAGAAATGAAATTCAGCCAACAATTTTCTTTAGTCACTTCCTCCCAGAAAATGAAATGGACTTATTTTTCTGGCAAAACATGTAATTATGCTATGAACTAGATGTTCATTTAAAAAAAATTTAGTACAGTTATGTTGAAACTAGCCTATATTGGAAATAGGGTTGTTGCGCATCGGAAGTTACATTGTTACTTCTGCATGATGCAAGAGTAATGCTGCTAGAAAGCAAAAGACTTGCATCGAGCAAGACTTATGAAATACATTTAAATATTCAAAACATTTCTTTAAGAAAAGATTGCCTTACTCAGATATGGCCTAAACCTCAGAACAAACTTCTAGTGTCTTCCCCCCCCCCCCCTTTTTTTTTTTTTTTTTTTTTAGTGAGAACAGATCTTAAGTCACAATATTTTGCTGCTCAGATCCTTCCAACGCATGCCAAAACTCCTTTGGGATCATACATCTATAGGGGAATTTAAGTAATATATTTATTTTTTCCTCATAGAATGAAGTCCATTCATTTTCTGTTGGATTTTTACCAGCTATTTTAATTCAGTGGGCATTCACATATTTTGGAGTCTTGGGCAAACCCAAGACATTTTCCCCTCAGAGTCGCATGTTTTATTTAAATTGAAAGGAACAAACATCAACTTGTCTCAGCATTTACCTTCTTGAAAATGATACAAGACTACCAATACAGGAGCAGAACAGAGCAAACATTCACCAAAATGATGCAGATGAAGAGCAACATCTGTCAAACCTGGAGTTGTGTGGGTAGCTGTAAGGGACTGGAAACACAAAATTTTTTGGCAGAAGAACCGCTTTCCAAAATCCAGTACAGAAGCACATTTCTTCTGAACCAAAAACTGAGGCTTTTTTTTTCATTTTTTTAAAAAATAATCTTGTTCTTGGTGCTGAATATTATAAGATGTGGCATAATAAAGGAATCTACTCACTCATGACTGGAAACTTCTTTGCATATAATCCAAGACAGGGTGTGAAGCAAGGTGTCTTGTTGGAGAAGGTTTCCCAGAGGTATACATGTCCTGATGACAGCAGGATAATAAAAAAAATAGTTATTTTAAGTTTTTTTTATATATATAGATATATAAATTGTTTCTCCTATAAACTTTTCATACACTTTGTTAAAAAGAAAATACAAAGGTGCATTTGTTACAACTGTTGGACTTTACTACTTAAGGATATTTTTTGAAGCTTATCAATTCAAAACGTGCACTTTATATCATCCATATTGTAAAACTGTTTGCACAGACTAATTCATAAAACTTAACTTTTCCCGAGGGATAAGAAACATTCTTTAAGAAGGGAAAAGTACAAAACTATGGATAACATAACTGGAAATAGAATCAAAGTAATTCTTCAGCGAGGTCAGCTAGCAGGAAAATGCAATGCCAAGATATTCTTTGAAGCACTACGACCACAAGCCAATTTACTAAAGAAACACAGATCGGCACCAACAGCTAATACCTCCTCCACAGAAAACAGAAGTTGAAAAAGCTACAACTTCTAGTGAGTTCAAACTATCTGCTCTCTCAAACACATAACTGGAATCAGGAAAAAAAAGGATTCCTAGGTAGGACAGATGCAGATTCGCTAACAATACGCCTGGCTTTCCCCAAAGCTAAATCTACAGGACTTAATCTTCAACAGTGATGGCACAGCAACTGCATTTTAGAGCATTTATTATATAATCTCCATCCTGCTGCCATAAGCAAGTTTATACAAATCTATGATAGCTGAATGAAAATAACTTCACCTCGTAGCTGAGATTATATATATAAAGTTGGAAAGTTTTCTTCTAAAACCCGCACAAAGATGGTTTCTGTAAATTAAGAATTATGTGATTTATGCCCTCTTTGCAGGGCCAATTAGCACCTGCTGAACCCCCTGCCCTGGCCCATGCAGCTAATACCTTGTGCTGACTCAGTTTTCAAGCCTCAACTCTCCTGATATCACAGGGATTAAAAAGAAGATAGAGAAACAAAGAGGAGTAATTTAGAGTGTGACTTAGCACAACATTTCCAGACTTACAGCACCCGCCAAAGAAGAACAAGAACTATCAGAGGAATCAATTGCAAAAGCAAAATAATAATAGTAATTAACTACAGTAATGCTAGAGATGGGAAAGACTGAAAAGGCAGATAAAGTTTAATAAGTGAAGAAAATGGTAGCGTACAGAAGAAATACGTAGGTAAACCTATTAAAAGGTACAAGAATACAAAGTCATTAGTGCAATCTGTGGAAAACAGCATTTTGAAGTGCAGGTCCTGTCATTCCTGTTAAATTAAACTATTCTATCTCATTCTCCAAAGGTTCAGCCCCCCTTCATTTTCTTAAATATGAACAAACAGAACTTTGCCTCAGGGATGCTACATGACACTCTGTTGCTTGTTCAGGAAGATGCTGTTCACGAGGCAAAAACCCAAACAACAGTTTGGAAAACCACCCAACACTAATAATAGCATAATTATCCCTCGTATCATTCATAAAATCTAGTCATGTGTAATCACAGATATGAGTAGTAGAAAATATAGCAGTATGTATCGACAAAAAGTGAACGCTTCAGCATAGCGTAACAACCTGAACTCCCAACTTCCCCATGTGAAATCTTGCTATCTTGCTTTCCATATCTAAATATTTTGTTTAGGTATTGCTAATATCCGTTCTACTCGTCAACATATACTTCTGACAAAATTCACATTTTGTTCCTTGAAAGTGCCGTGCATGCAGTTTAATTGCTGTTTATAGCTTCAGGGTTGCATTTGCTGAAGGTTGTTTAATTGGACTATTCAAAAGTGCATACTTGTTTTTGCATAAATCAAAAAAAAAGTTTCATATTATATATACAGTTTAGAGTACAGCAAGCAGTGCTGGAGAATGAAGAAAGGTCAATATTGTCACATCTCAGCAAGGCTGAGTTTACTGTTTACTGCATTGCAACATCGATGCTTTTACTAAGGATCTGTGTGTTGGGAAACTAACTTGCTGTCACTTGGCTGTCTTAACCAATGACCTGATTCTTTTCGAAACTTGTACTTTTCTCTCCTGTACACAAGCAGTACCAAATATCATACTGCACACACTTGTTGAGTGGCTTGCTGTAAAAATACCGTCTTGGGAAAAAAAAAAGAAAAAAAAAAAGTCTGCTGAAGCCCCTTTATTCTTCCTCTTTCAATTAAGAAGGTTATAAAATACACACACACTTTACCCTCCTGTGGCATCCAGAACTTTCTTAGCAATAAAATGTATTTCAAGGCCAGGGTGGTTTCAACTTGTCTAGCTGCGAAATTTTCAACTTTGCTTTGGAAGGAATAGCTGAAAAGGAAAAAGCTCTTTGCAACTTCAAATTCGAACACACTAATAATACGCCCAGCTACATGGTTCTATATCTCTGTTTTTACTAATTTTTCTCTAGGGAATTTGAGACAGACTGCAAGTAAATTCCCATTTATTACAATTCTTTGTGCTAGGTCTCTATCCAGAGACAAATAGTTGAAAACTCTTCAAGATTCAAGTCTACTCTGAAGTCTAGTCTTCAAGATTCAAGTCTACTCTGCCTGCACTTATCCTAGCTTCTGTGTAACTTAAATGCTAAGAAGTTAACCTACGAATTTATAACCCCAGCTTCCGAGAATCAGAAATCACAGAAGCAACATGCAAACAGCAGTTTTATGCCACATACACAAATAATAATAATAATAATCAAAACAAAGCCTACTTGCACTCAGCGATATTTTACTGTCAGATACTTTCTTTTTTAAGCAAAAAAGATGTTATTGCCCTTGAATAAAACTGACAAGGAATTAAGAAATACGCGGTTAAAGTTTTGCTGGCTGGTGAAACGTTGAGTCTCAAATCATCAGTTTCTCTGCTATGTAACGAGGGCGCAGAAGCACAGCTCGTGTAAAGGCAGTTCTACCAAATTACGCTCATCCAGGGGGAATTAACTTTGAAGCTCCAGCCAGGAACAACAGGAGCGAGGAGGAAGCGGAACGAAGCCAAAAGGGAGCAGCGCTTCGAGAGCCAACGCACCGAAACCCCTAACAGGCTCCGCGGGAGGGTGGAAACGTCAAGTTCACACCAAAACCAGGCCGTGGCTGCTGGGGACCCGCGCGAAGGGAGCGGAGGAAACGCGGCAGGCCCGGCACAGCCTGGCCAGGGCGTGGAGGGCGGCCCCGGGGGCGCCGCGGAGCGTCGGGCACTCCGCGCGTGTCGCCCACGCCACCCC